GTGGGGGTTGGAGCTTCGTGATCCTTGAGCTCCCTTCCAACCCAAGCCATTCTGTGATTCTCTGATTCCAAGCTTTCTTAGTGCATAACTGGAGGAAGAGCAAGTTCTGGAGGCTGGCTCTGTTCCAGTGAAGTGCTGTCACAGCTTCCAAATTGAGGAGCTGTGTTTCTGGGATTCTTTTCTGAAGGCCTGAGAAGTGTTCTTTGCATTGCACATTAAACTTACAGTACCATCGTTTTTCTGCAGCCCTAATGAAATCCTTACATTTTTTTGTCAGCTTTATTTTAATGATTCTCTACTAAAGCTGTTTGTTTTCCTTAGTTGTTTCCTGCTGTGCATGAAGGATGACAGCATTGAGGGAATCTACGACACCCTGAAGCAGTGTGCCCTGATCTCCAAGTCTGCTGGTGGCATCGGGCTGGCTGTGAGCTGCATCCGCGCCACGGGCAGCTACATTGCTGGGGTGAGTGTGCAGGTGGTGCCTGCAGCAGAGCAACCTTCTGCCCTGGGGAAATGCCTGCATTCCAGCTGCCAACCCAGCACTGCTTCCCGACGGCTGAGCACAGCAGCTCGTCCGGCCCCATAGAGCTTCCTTTCAATGTGCTTTAAAACAAGGAGGTTGGTTTTTCTTGCTGCTTGGCTTTCCTAAGAGAAGTCCTTGCAACAGATCTCGTGCTGCTGCCTGATCAGACAATTCCAACTTATTTATGTGTCAGCAGCCTGGCATATGCCTGAAGGCCAAGGCATTGGCATTTCCCTCTTTATAGTTCAACTACTTAAGGTGTTCAGTGGACGTATGAGGATTTTTTTTCTTTTGGTTGCTGTCTGTGTAACCTCTGCACGACTCCAGATTGCCTTGTGTTGAGGAAATCAGTTAATGGTGGATTTCTTTAATTTAAAAGGGGAAAGTGTGGAGGTTCCAGGGGCAGGTGGTGGTGCCACCAGAGCACTGACTGAAGTGATCGATTTCCAGCTTTCAAGATGATGGCTGAAAGTTGCTTTTTTGGTAACGGTGGTTTTCCTGTGCTCCTGCAGACAAATGGGAACTCCAATGGACTTGTCCCTATGCTGAGGGTGTACAACAACACTGCTCGCTACGTGGATCAAGGTGGTAACAAGGTAATGGCTTTGCATTGAACTGGGGGGAAAGAGGGGAGCCGCACCAGGGGGAGAGTTCACCTGTGAAGGGTTGGAACAGTGACATCAGTGATGCAGTGGTGGTTGGCACGTTATTAGGAAAAGGACTTCTTTCCCTCCTTGTTGGTAGCCCAGCGTTCCATCATGCAGGTGTATCTTCTGCTGTGTGCCTGCTGTGTGAGATGTGTGCTTCAGGTCATCTCTTGCAGTGCTTATCAATCACTTGGATCAAGTGATTGAATCAAGGCTGCAGAAAGTTTCTTGTTCTGCATCCTTTGTGTTCAGGTAGCCCAGAGGCCGATGGAGGTAAGGCTCATAGGTAAATCTAGGAATTGTCAAGCTCCTCTGTTGACACAGGGGAAATAATTTTCATTAAGAATCTGGAACTACTGGCATGGCCTAGCTCCAATGAGAGCAACAGTGATACAGAACAGCACTTTGAAATTGCCTCAGTGAGACTATCAGACTGACTTTAGTTAGTTTGAGGTTTTGTGTGCCCATGGCAGCAGTGTGGGAGGTTTCATTTTCAGGATGGTTTGATCTGATCTTGATGTTGTCTGTGTCAGAGACCTGGGGCTTTTGCCATCTACCTGGAGCCGTGGCACCTGGACATCTTTGAGTTTCTTGACTTAAAGAAGAACACTGGGAAAGAAGAGCAGCGTGCCAGAGACCTTTTCTTTGCCCTCTGGATTCCGGATCTCTTCATGAAGAGAGTTGAAACCAACCAGGTAAGGAGCTTGTTGGGTGCAGAGGAGCTGTGTTAATGGAGGAGCAGAGTGGTGCAGAGCTGCCCTAGCAGGTTGCTGTACCCCAGCTGAGCACTAGGTTGTGCAAGTGGAGAACTCCAGTGGAGCACTTTGCTTCGGGGCTGAATCACTTGCCCACTTCTGTGCCAAATTTGTACTTTGCAGTTTCCATATAGCATCAAAATCTTCTCAGTAATTAGATCCTCATTCTGCTTGTTATTCCTTGAAAATGGGTTACATCTGAGAATCAGTCACTTCAGGATTCCAGGTGCAGTTTGTCACAAGGATTCCTACAGTTGATTTTTAAATAGATCAGACTGCTCCAGTAAACACCTTCCCTGTGCCTGCAGGAAAAGCTGGCTCCTTTTTCAGGATGGGAACGTGAGCTTTCATGTTGCTGTTTGCAGCAGGATCTGCTGATGAAGCTGAATGCTGTTAATGAACGAGGCACCTACAGATTTTGAGTATTTTTTTCCTTCTTACAGGATTGGTCCTTAATGTGCCCAAATGAATGTCCTGGCCTAGATGAGGTCTGGGGAGAGGAATTTGAGAAACTGTATGAGAGGTAAGGGAAGCGAGCAGGCTTTTATACAGCGGCCATCTGACTGCAGAACTGCCCTGGTGTGGTGCCTGGGAGCCAAAGCACAGGGTTGTGGTGCTGGCTTGGAAGGGGCTGCTCAGTTCAGTTGTCACAGTGGTAGCAGTGGCACAGATGGGGATGTGCAGTTACTCCTGCTCCCAAGTGAGAGCTGCTGAGCACAGGCTGTGCATGAAAGCTTATTTCAGAGTGAAGTTCTGAAATGGTCCCTACTTAAGGCAGTGGGTGGCTCTGTTTTGAGTGAATTGTGTAGGGTGCTTTAGGGAAAGCTTCCTATTTCCTTTATCCAGAGCAGTCTGAATACTCTGCCGTTCAGGCTCTGCTGGCTAATTTGAAATTGAGTGGGGTTGTGCCTCCTTGGGAACCTGATGAATAGATTGATCATAGAATCACAGAAATGATTCCTGTGCTGCTTCTGGAGAGTCTGGGAGTCACTGAGCACCGTGTGCCCTTTGCAGCTATGAGAAGCAAGGCCGTGTCCGCAGAGTGGTGAAGGCCCAGCAGCTCTGGTACGCCATCATCGAGTCGCAGACAGAGACTGGCACGCCTTACATGCTGTACAAAGACTCTTGCAACAGGAAAAGCAATCAGCAAAACTTGGGGACCATCAAATGCAGCAACCTGTGCACAGAAATAGTGGAGTACACCAGCAAAGATGAGGTGAGTGGGAGAGCAGCAACTTGCAGCAGTGCAGGAAATGTGTAAAGGTGCTCGTTGCAGCTTTTTAGAACATAACCAACCCTTGGCTGGGGAAGGAAGCAGGTAACTAAGGAAATCCTGGGATGCTTTGAGTCGAGTGTGTACAGCTCTTCCACTGGGTGACTGGGTGGGTATGGGGAGGCGTCCCCTCCTTTCCAGCTCCTGTTGAGGATTGGGCATTAAAACAAGGTACCCATCAAAGTGAACCTCTGGAGCTGGAGAGATAACTGAGCTTTGTGGCTTGCAGGCAGGTGGTGTAAGCACCTCCTACCTCCAGATCTGAACTTCACTGCTAATTGTCTCTGAGTTCTCCGTCTCATTTAGGTGCTCGGTGGAGTTGTTGTGCTTGGACTTCAGCATTTGCTAACAAAAGTAAAGAAGGGATGCAGAAATGAGTCAGTGCTAATGCAACGTGAGACATCTCTAGTGCAGTTAAGCTCTTGAGGCTGTTAAAACTGAAAGCATCAGCTTCTACTGCCTGAGCTGAGCCGAGCTGTTCCAATTATCCTGGGGTTGGAAATGAAGTGATTGTTAGAAAGTAACGAGGACGGTGCTCTGATATATTCTGGATCTCACGAGGATCATCTGCTGATTCTAATAAGAAGTTGGGCTCAGTTTCTGGAAGGAAAGCTTACAGGCTAGAATTTTTATAGTGATACTGATATCAGCTAACTTTTTGACTTGTTATTGTCCTTTTTCCAGCTTGTGAAAGGCATGCAAGTGAGAAATGTGTCTTTTACAGCCTTTTAGCTTGCGTGGTGCTTTGCTTGGACAGAGGGCGTGCTCTGGAATTGAGGCAGTGTGTCTTTTGCAGGGGGTGTTGGCTGACACGTTGTTCTCAATGTTGGCTGACATGTTGTTTTCAATGTTTTCTTCTGTGCAGGTGGCAGTTTGCAATCTGGCCTCCATAGCCCTGAACATGTACGTCACTTCGGAGCACACTTACGATTTCAAGAAGCTGGCTGAGGTCACAAAGGTTATTGTCCGAAACCTGAACAAAATCATTGACATCAACTACTACCCTGTGCCTGAGGTGAGTGCTGTGCTGCACTGCTATGGAGCTGATGGCAGCCCAGGAGCTGTGACAGAGGCTCTGCTGCTCTCTGCAGTCCCAGTTTGAAGGAATCGCCGAGGGATTCTGTAAACCTGTGGTGGCACAGAGCTGGGGGCTCCCATAGCTGCCTGTCTGCAGCTGTGACCTATTGGCGGTGGCACCTTCAGCCCCCATCCAGAGTGGCTCCTTAGTGAAGGACTTGTAGTCAAAGCTTCCCCTTGAGATGGATCTGCAGGTGGATTTGTTGGTGTGTGTGTGTAGACTTCCATAAAGCACAGAGCAGCGTGAGGTGGGGAGCAGAACAGAGGGAATCATCCTGGAACTCAGCCTTGAGCTGTTGGTTTCGTGTATTTTTGGGGGGGTGTGTGGATAGTTTTGTGGAAGGGAAGACAGAGGGTTGGGAGTTCTTGAAGGAGGGAAGGGTGCAGAGTTACATGCATTGCAAGAACACAGGAAGGCAAGCAGCAGGGCTGGGCATTGGAGAAAGGAGTAAGCCTTCCTTCATGGCCCTGAGCACCACATCCAAAGGCTTTGTAAACACATCCAGGGATGGGGACTCAACCACCTCCCTGTGCAGCCCATTGCAGTGCTTTACAGCCCTTTCTGTACACAAGTGTTTCCTGAGATCCAGCCTAACCCTCCCCTGGCACAACTTGAGGCCATTTCCCCTCGTCCTGTCACCAGTGAGAAGAGACCAGCCCTGCTCTGCTGCAGTCCCCTTTCAGCTACTGGAAGAGAGCAATCAGGTCTCCCCTCAGCCTCCTCTTCCCCACACCAAACAGCCCCAGTTCCTTCAGTCTCTCCCCATAGGCCACATTCTCCAAGCCTTCCTCAGCCTTGTTGCCCTTCTTTGGACCTGCTGCAGCACCTCCATGTCCTTTCTGTACTGAGGTGCCCAAAACTGAACACAGAACTCCAGGTGAGGCCTCATCAGTGCTGAATGCAGTGATGCATCAGTGCAAAAATACTCCAAGCTGAAGGCCAAGCCTGGTGAAGATCACTTTTTTTTTTCCAAGCACGTGCAGTTAGAGCACTTGAATTCAAATATCTTCATGGATCTGTTTTTGAGGGAGGGTTTAGTATTCATTTCTAATCACACCTTTATTGTGTCGGATCGAGCAATCAGGATTAGCGATCGCTCCAAACAAACCTTAATCCTGATCCTCCAATTCCTGCCTTACCAAACAGTGGGGAGCTCAGGGCTGGCTCACTGCAGCAGAACGGACTGCCAAGAAAAATGAGGGCAGCCACAGGGGGAGGTCAGAGATCCTTCCGGAGCTTCTATCCAACTCTGTTTCCACGCAGCTCAAGTCGCCATTCCCTCTGCTTGAATCCCCCGCAGGCGGAGCGCTCCAACAGGCGCCATCGCCCCATCGGCATCGGTGTGCAGGGCCTGGCTGACGCCTTCATCCTGATGAGGTTCCCCTTTGAAAGCCCCGAGGCGCAGCGTCTGAACCAGCAGATCTTCGAGACCATTTATTACGGGGCTCTGGAAGCCAGCTGTGAGCTGGCTGAGCAGCAAGGGCCATACGAAACGTATGAGGGTTCTCCTGTCAGCAGAGGGGTAAGTGCCAGAAGTGTCCTGCTTCAGGGCCGAGGCTTTGAAGTACAGGTTGTGTGATGGCCTGAGGGCTTTGATACGGAAGGAGGGATGTGACTGAAACTTTGTAATCATAGAACCATAGAATTGCTCAGGTTGGAAAAGACCTTAAAGATAATCAAATCCAACCCCAACCCAACCGTCCTACCTGAACTCTAACGACTCGCCCCCTAACTCATGGCCCTGAGCACCACATCCAAAGGCTTTGTAAACACATCCAGGGATGGGGACTCAACCACCTCCTTGTGCAGCCCATTGCAGTGCTTTACAGCCCTTTCTGTACACAAGTGTTTCCTGAGATCCTCCCCTGGCACAACTCGTCCTGTCACCATTGAGAAGAGACCAGCCCTGCTCTGCTGCAATCCCCTTTCAGCTACTGGAAGACAGCAATCAGGTCTCCCCTCAGCCTCCTCTTCCCCAGACTGAGCAGCCCCAGTTCCTTCAGTCTCTTCCCATAAGCCACATTCTCCAAGCCTTCCCCAGCCTTGTTGCCCTTCTTTGGACCTGCTGCAGCACCTCCATGTCCTTTCTGTACTGAGGTGCCCAAAACTGAACGCAGAACTCCAGGTGAGGCCTCACCAGTGCTGAATGCAGTGATGCATCAGTGCAAAGTGCTATTTTTCTTCCATCATTTGACTATTAAAGTGCATTAAGAAATGCATAAGATAAATGGGGGTGAAGAGGAAGACAAAAGAAAAGCTTCAGCTTCTATTGGGGGGCCCTTCTGTGTGATTAAAAGATTGTGAGATTATGATACAGGAGCTTAGCTGAGACTGAACAATTAATAAGGACAATTAATAAGAATAGCAGATCGATTAATAACATAATTTATGAAGTACAAAGAAAATAATTTGTGTTCTTCAGATTCTGCAGTACGACATGTGGAATGTCACCCCATCCGACCTGTGGGACTGGAAGGCCTTGAAGGAGAAGATTGCAAAGTAGGTAATCTTGCATGGTTAGTTTCAAATGCAAATTGCATTGGGCATATTATGACTGAAAGCAAAAGGTTGGCTGCAAGAATTCCAATGGCTCTATTGTAGTTCCCTATTACTTCCTTCTGGTAGGTCTTTACCTGTGGCTGGCTCTCTTTGTTGTTGTGGTTACACGCAGGCTGTGCCCACCCCAGGGGCTCTGTTCTAGCTGAGATGTCTGAGCTGAGGATTCCTGCTTTGTTCCTGGGTCTTTTCTCTTCTTTCTCCCTTGGTTGAAGCTTTCTAACTCGTGGCTTTCATTGCCAGGTATGGTGTCAGAAACAGCCTTCTCCTTTCCCCCATGCCAACTGCTTCCACTGCTCAGATCCTGGGCAACAACGAATCCATTGAGCCCTACACCAGTAACATCTACACACGGAGAGTCCTTTCAGGAGAGTTCCAGGTAAGCACTTGGGGTAGCTTTGCCAAAGAGCTTTTCTGTAGTTTTAGTTTCAATAACTTCAATCATTGGAAAAGACAAAATGGAGGCTACTGATTACTCTCCCATGAGGATAGGTTGAGGGAACTGGCGTTGTTTAGCCTGGAGAAGAGAAGGCTGCAGGGAGACCTGATGGTGGCCTTCAGTGCTTGAAGGGAGTGGATAAACAGGAGGGGGAACGGCTGTGTGTGAGGGTGGGTGGTGACAGGACAAGGGGAATGGCTTGAAAGTGAGCCAGGGGAGGTTTGGGTTGGATGTGAGAAGGAAGTTTTGGAGGCAGAGGGTGGTGAGGCAGTGGCACAGGTTGCCCAAGGAGGCTGTGGATGCCCCATCCATCCCTGCAGGCATTGGAGGCCAGGCTGGATGTGGCTCTGGGCAGCCTGGGCTGCTGGTTGGTGACCTGCACACAGCAGGGCTTGGAGCTGGATGAGCGCTGTGCTCCTTTACAGCCCAGGCCATTCTGTCATTCTGTGGTAGTCAGTTCAGTCAGGCACTTATGTCCAAAGCCAAAAATGCTAAGGAGAACATGTAACCAGTGTGTCTGGGCTGCGTGCTGGCTGCTATGGGTATGCAAAATTTTAAAGAAGTGCTGCTTTTCTCTGGGAAAAAAACCAATCCACTTCATTAGACGTTGACTAATGCTGTGTGGGTCAGGTGCAGGGCTTCTGGACAGATACCCCCACAGTCCCAGCAAGGAGAAGTTTGCTTAGTGCTAACTGGAAAATGAGAGTTTGGCAGTGCTGCACAAAGTCTTGTGTAAGTGTTAGAAAATCCCTACGTGTGTCAGTGTGGATTTTTCTTCTGTAAGTGAAAAACCTCCTCTAGGAGGTGCATCTGTGCTGTAAGGCAGGGCACGTAGCTTAGGGCATGCAGTGCTTTCATTCCTGGGCCTTTGCTGCTTACAGGTTGTGAACCCACACTTGCTGAAAGATCTCACAGAGAGGGGTCTGTGGAATGAGGAGATGAAAAACCAAATCATTGCCCACAATGGCTCCATCCAGGTATGCGTGGAGACGAGGGGGGGCTGGGGCTGTCTCCAGTGTGAGCAATGCTGGGGGGGGGGGGCACTGCTGGGAGCAGATCTGACACAGTGATTTTAAGGTCTGCTGTGTGTGAGTGACTCAACCAGCCTGGGAGGAGAAGCCTCAGTCTGGAACATTGCTATTAGAAAGATGAGGGAATGCATCTGAGTGGTGATTTGTTCCTGCTGGAGCTTGCCCACGGAACAGAGAATTCCAGTGGAAATATGCAACTCATTATTACTTGGACAAATAGAGAGCTGAGCTGCTTTGCTTTATGCAGGTTCCACAAACGTTTGGGCTCCCTTTTATCACAAAGGTTGCGGAGGGGTGATTTTATAGCAATGAGTGGGCTTGAGACAGGAGCTGAGCACGTGGCATCCAGATCTGGGGGGTGGAGGAGGAGATGGGATGGATTATTTATGCTCTGGAGGTTGAAATGCTGCTGTGCTCGGAGTCACACACGCTAAAAAAAGTGCATCCTACTTGTGCAGTTGGACATGAGTGGGAGTGCTGGAGTGCTTCTGTAAAGCCTCACAGCTATTCAGAGCAAAACATGAGTGTCCTATTTGAAAACAGCTCTTTTGCTCTAAATTCCCCAACACAGGCCACCTTCTGAAAGCAAGCAAGGTTTCTTTGTGCTCGAGTGCTTTCAGATCCAAAGTGTTTGGGTTCAGTGAGGGAGCTGCAGCTGCAAGAATTCTGATGTGGTGGAATCAGTGATTTGTGGAGGGTTTGTGTGCATGAATACGAGCATTTGGGTTGTAACATCGGGTTATGCTGCATTGGGAAACTCTTCCTTTCAGAATATATCTGAGATTCCTGCTGACTTGAAGCAGCTTTATAAGACAGTGTGGGAGATCTCCCAGAAAACTGTCCTCAAGATGGCAGCAGACAGAGGAGCTTTCATCGACCAGAGCCAATCTCTCAACATCCACATCGCAGAACCCAACTATGGCAAACTGACCAGCATGCACTTCTATGGCTGGAAGCAGGTATGTGGGTGGGAGCTGTTCAGAACTAAGGAGCAAATGGGGCTCGATAAGGGCTTCCATGAAAAATTGGTCTTGGAAGGGTAAATGAGCATTTCCTCCCGCGAATCCAGAGTTACCAGAGGAACATCTCTGTGGAGCAGTAAAGCTGCAGGCCCTGTGGCATTGCTCCCATGAGCCATGCCCACAAGGCATTGCTGTGAGGTGCTCACAGTGGCATGGCCTGCAGGAGGGTGGAATTAGCAGCTCCTTTTGGCTCCATCACTTGCCAGCCCATTCCAGCTCCTGGATTTGTGCTTTCTCCCTGCAGGGTCTGAAGACAGGCATGTATTACCTAAGGACAAAGCCGGCTGCAAACCCCATCCAGTTCACCTTGAACAAAGAGAAACTCAGAGAGCGGGAGAAGGCCGCTGAGGAAGAGAAGGAAAGGAACAAAGCAGCCATGGTTTGCTCCCTGGAGAATCGTGATGAGTGCCTGATGTGTGGCTCCTAACGGCCCTGCAGTGCCAGCAGAGCTGCTCTGCCCGTGGCTCCCATCTGAGATAGGTGCACTTAGTGTCACTTCAGGGCAGAGGAGCTCGCTGGAGCTGTGGCAGAAGGGCAATCACTGTAGTGTATGGTAGCTTCCCCAGCTGAGAATTAGGGGATGCTGCACATGTATGGGTAGAGTGCATAAAAAGTTTGTGTATTGCTTTTGTAGCTGGGCTTCCTGGAAACCTAAGTGCTCTTGCGTGGTCTTGGGTTGAACCCTATAGAAAGAAGTTCTCCTGAACAGCTAGGAAAAGTGCTAACGCTGCTTACAGGTCTGCCTTGGGACTGGAGACACTTCCTTGCATTTCCTAAAGACTCACATCCTGTCTTCAGAGGCAGAACCTGACTGACGGGTTCTCCTTTGCTGTGACAAAACACCAGGAGAAGAACCCTATGCTGGCTGTGTGGTGTGCCTGATAGGCAGTCTGCCTTGGCAAAGCAGCAACTTCTGTTAAGCTTGAAAAGATGTTGTGTGCACATCTAGCAGTGAGGCCCTTCTCCCACCATTTATCCCTGTCCCCAACTCCTTCCAAAGATGCAGGATGCTGGGGGGTGTCTTGCTGCTTGGAGGCTTCCTTTCCTGCTCTCAGCCTGACTGAAGGACGCTGCACTCAGTTACTTCTGCTTTTCAGCTCTGAGCAGGAAATGGCAGAATTGCTGCAGTGCGTTCTATTCTGTACCAAAAACCCATTCAAGTTTCCATCAGTTTGCTGCTCACACAATTCCATGCTGTCCTTGAGCAGAAAGCCTTGACAGTGCGCACCCCATCTTTTCCGAAGCGCTGCATTCATCCACCCCAGCTGGTTACTTGGAATTTTAGGAACATGTTTTTTACTTCTCTACCTACTTAACTCTCTGCTCTAATGCCATGGGGCTTCATCACCCAGTTCTTAAATATTTATTGAATTCGTGTACCATACAACTAACCCTTTAATCCACAGAACTCAATAAAATGTGGTATGTCAAAGGAATGAAGGGCGGCATCTTGGGAATGGTATTTTGATTAAACTTGCACTGTAACAGCTGGAGACAGGAGCCTTTTTTGGTGAGCCCTGCACCTAGAGCAGCAGCTCCATGTCTGAGGGCTGCAGCTGTGTGTAGCAGGACCCTGTGTTTGCCTGGGTGCCCTGCTGAGCTCAGTGTGGTGTCTGTCCTTTAGAAGTTTTGGGCTAAAGGCCATGTAGCACCATGTCCACGTTTCAGTAACAGGCAGGGGAGGTGGGCTGAGTTCATGGAGCAAACCTGTGGCTGTGCCAGAAGCAAGGTTTGGACCTTCGTGTCTTTTTTTTTTTCTCCAGCTCTTGTTCCATTTCTTCTGCTTCCAATTCTTTTTATAAGGCACCTGTGAAAATATCATGGGAGATCTCTTAGAAGCCTCTCTGTGCTTCTAAGGGAGGATGGTTGGGTCTGAGTACCACTCGTGGCAGCTGTGCCTCCTAAGAAATATCACCAAGAAGAGATGCTGCTGTCTGGACCAGCGTGAGAGCTCGTGTAGACAGGAGCATGGCTGCAGAGCCAGGCACATCCTCAGCTGCCTCAGCCTTTGCTCCCTGAGCACGGCAAGGAGAGGTTGGGGGTCGGCTGTAGCTGGGCAGCACAGCACTGATGTGTCTGTATTGAAACAGCAGTAGCTCCCAGTGGACCCTGCAGCCTTCGCTGCCTCTGTTCTTGGAGTTTGCTTTTGCTGCCACCTCTCCAAGGTGCTTCCAAAAGTGAGAGCTGTTGAAATCAAGCACTTACGCCTGACCTGATTTCCTGGGGGAAGAGTGCTTCATCTCCCACCCGCTGTCAGTAGCCAGGAAAGCAAGCTGTCACCGCTTCAGCAGGGTTAGTTCTACTCAGTTCTTTTTCTGACACAAGTTTCTGTTAACTCAGCTGCAGCTGAACAGAAGCAATGCTTTAGGAGGCTCTTTCCTCCTTTAGCATCTCCCCACTCGATGATCTCTGGGAAGCAGCTCCGGGCTGCAGAGAGCAAAATCGTGCCTCTTGGTAATAATGGGCACCAGCCCCCAGGTTACAGTTGAGACAAGCCAGACCCAGAGGCAGCCTGAGGGACCAGGACAACTGGGGCTGATGAGGAGCAGCCTGGGCTGTGTCCTGGCTCTGCCTTAACAGCCTTGGAGCACACGAGCAGCTCTCATTGGCACCAAAGCCAGTGTGAATCCAAACTCCTGTGTGGTGCTGTTGGGTCAGGCCTGTAAACTCTACATTTGCAAAGCCCTTGGAGAACTTGCTTGGTAAGAAATGTACCCAGGAGCACTGCTGCTGAGATGATTTCATTTCCCAGGGTTCAGTTTACAATTGAATTGTGCTGATCTACGCTGATTTGGATGTCAGGGGGAAGTTGTTTAGAGAGAGAGTGGTGAGATGCTGGAACAGCTGCCCAGAGAGGCTGTGATGCCCCGTCCATCCGTGGAGGTGTTGGAGGCCAGGTTGGATGGGGCCCTGGGCAGCCTGGGCTGCTGTGAGATGGGGAGGTTGGTGGCCCTGCATTGGTGGGGGGTTGGAGCTTCGTGATCCTTGAGCTCCCTTCCAACCCAAACCATTCTGTGATTCTGTAATCTAGAGGGAACCTGAAGTACTAATCCCACCTTGCCATTATTTCACGAGGCACTCTTAGCACCCATGGCATTTAGAGACCTGCGAGGAGGTTTTGTGGTGCAGAACTTGAAGCTGGCAGAGGGTTTGGGAAGTTCCATCCTCGTGAGCCAGCAGTGTGCCCTGTGTCTGAAGGCTGGGGGCTGGGATGGGGCTGGGCTCTGTTCCGTGGTGCCCAATGCCAGGACGAGGGGCACCTGCATAGGCTGCAGCCCAGGGAGTTCCATCTGTGCTGTGAGGGGGGCAGAGCTCCAGTACTGCTGCCCTGCGAGGTGAGGATCTTCCTGCAGACATCCAGACCCACCTGGATAATGTCCTGTGCAAAGACTGAAGGAACTGCTTCAGGGGTTGGAATGTTTCGTTGCTGTCACTTCCCCAAATTCCCAGCTGAATGACAGCCTCAGCTCTGCAGCCTTCCCTTGGCAGCCATGGAGAGACGCAGATCCCTCCTTACCTGCCGCCAGCAGGGGGCTGTTACACCTTCCAGCTCCCTGCTTACTCGGAGAAGCCAACCCAGTCCCATCCATTCATTTTGTGCGTCGTTTTTTCGATCTCCATCGTGTCGATTCTCTTACTGACTTCACGTGGATTCTCTCTATTTCTGTCAGTGCCCAAGGCTGCTGCTGAGCCCACAGCTGCATGGTGCAGAGCTGAGGATCACCGTGTCTGTGTGCAGTGCTTCTGTTCCACTTCATGATGAAACAGATCTGAATACTGCTCCAGCCCTGGAGTGAGTGCAGCCCTCCTGCTGGGGCTCAGCCACACCGAGCTGCTGCAGCTCTCACTTCCCACCCTTTCCTCATTGCCTCTGCGTGTGTGTTTGAGCTGATGTGTCTTAATTTAAGGCAGCCGAGTGTAACTGTGATTCCCAACTGCAGCTGCAATGCAGTGGAAAGCACGGATCTCACTGTTCCCCCTAAGGCTTTCCTCGTCTGATTTTCCTGTTTTAAAGTAGGTGCTTGTAAACGTATCGCATTCTTGCTAAAGGAAGTGCCCAACTTTTTGTTGGGAAATATCAGATGGAAAATACAGAACAGTGCCTACATCTCTGCCCAGCATTCATCTTCCTAGAGCCTCAGTCCTTCCTAGAGCCTGAGCTAGACCTGCCTGGGTTATTTAAGCCTCTGACTGCTTGTCCACCGTGCTGCTTTTTCCCTTCTTCACCCCAGCAGTGTTTTTTCATGCCTGAGGACAGTGTTTTCCCTCCTGGAAATCTTTGCTGTGTGGTCCTGCTCCTCCCCTTGGTTGGTCGTAGTTTTCAAGGCTCAAACTGTTCATGTGATTGATGGGCTTTTTCCAGCCTGTATGATTCCCTGAGTGGTTGTGGTGGGGATGGATTGATGATTGGACTTCACAGAATAACAGAATTGTAGGGTTTTGAAGGGATCTCTGGAGCTCATCGTGTCCAGCCCCCCTGCAAAACAGGCTCCCTACAGCAGGCTACATAAGTGCATCCAAGCAGGTCTGGAATATCTCCAGAGAAGGAGAATCCACAGCCTCCTTGGGCACAGCTCTGCCAGGGTGAGACCAGAGGGTGGTGTGGGCACAATGATTACATGTGATGCAGGTGACCCTGTCCCCATCTGGCATGGGATGGAGGAACACGGGGTGAGCACTGAGCAAGGGCACAGCACTGGGGACAGGGCTGATCTCAGAGCTCCTGCACTGAGCTGTGACACAGCACGGCCTGGCAGCAGCTTTCTGCCCCATGCTCCACCTCCACGGTGTGTAACGCTGTTCTGTACAGAGAGGAGCTTTGCTGGCTGTTGTGGCAGTGAACTGACTCTGCTTTAAGGCACTGTGTTGTGTTGTCAGGTTTCTTTTGGCAGAGCTTGCCATCCAAATGGGATGGACACCCTGCAGCCCTGTGGATACTTGGGCCGGGTGCTACGCTGTGACCCCAGGCTTGGTTTTTGTAACACTAACTCGTATATTTGATTAGATTCGAAATACCAAAACATTTATTTCAAAAGGAAAAACAACAAACAGCAAGAACCCAAAGGCTTTGAAGCTGCAGACAGAAAGCTGTGCGTACCTCTGCCCAGATCCCACTGCTGCTTTCCACCTGCTTGAATAGGAAGCCCCAGGCTTGGAGCAGCCTGCTCAGCTCTGCATGATGCCCGCGGCGTTCTGCTGCCTGGCACAGCCCTGCCTGACCCCTGATGGCACCTCCTGGGCCATGGGTGAGTATTGCAGCCTCTGTGCCTTCTTCTAAACACAGATCCAGGTCTGATCCGGGAAAGGAGCAGAGATCTCAGGAAGCTCCGTGTCGGAGCAGAAGTGTCTGCTTGTGGCTCTGAACCCCACTCAGCAGCTGTGTGCTGTCCAAACGTGGTGAATGAGGAGAGCTTGGGACGAGCAGCACCGTGTGTGTTTTGTCCTTTGTTCACTGCAGATTTTGGCAGGCACTGCCGTCATAACACTCGTTGTTTCTGCACTCATCTGGTGGGCACAACGCAGGGCATCACAGGAAGCAGAGATACAGAGCAGATAGCTGGGCAGGGGCCAACAGGGACCGGTGCCGGGTGCCACGCTTGGCTCACGCCGACCCCAGAGGGCACAGCGGGCTGGGGTTGGACTGGGGATCTCAGAGGGCTTTTCCAACCTTCCTGATTCCACGATTCTCTGATCTTCCCAGGAGATCAGCAGTGTCCTTCCTCAGCTCCTGCTGCCCAAAGGAGGTCACTGCTGACCTCTCACATGCTTGGGTCAGATGGCAAAACTTGGAAATGCAGGTTATCTCCATTGTGATTTGGGCTGTTGATGCTGAGGGCCGGGATGGAGAAAGCTGTGAGATGCAGCACCCAACAACCACAGCTCCCAGCCCCTGTGCTGCTCTGTCCTGCTGGTCACAGGCAGTCTGCTGTGTGCTGCTCCCTCCTGAGCGCTGCTCTGTGCAGGGAAGCTGTGTTTGGGCAGCCTGAGTCCTTCCTCTCAATTTGTGTGACTGTTGGATGCTTGTAGGGGCGGTTTGAGCACGGAGAGGAAATTACAGAGCTTGACAGTGTCCAGCTGGTTCAGAGAAGCTGGGAGTTGTGTGTTTGGCTACATGCAGTCTTTTCTTACCGCTTTCCTCTCCTTTGACCTGCCTTTACAATTAACTTCTGTGGCATGCCATCAAAGTCTGCTCTCCTCCTTTGATAGGATGTGTTCAGAGCTCCATTTCCATGGCAATGAGCGGCTGCTATCTGCACAGAGATGTTACACCTTCACACAGGGCTGCTCTGCACTTGCCTGTGGCTGCTGGCTCGGAGCAGACTGACGCTGAGCTGCACCAGGCCCTGGGTGCTACAGGTGAGCTGCCTGCAGCGCTGGGCTGTTGCTGTGCTCCCTGCTGTGCTTTGACAGCAGCCAACGATCAAAGCAGCTCCTG